TATGTATATGCATATGTATATGTATGAGTACATGTACTATACATACCCAGAGAAGAAGCCACATGCCTCAAGCTTGAATGCGGAATAGTTTCTTCAGGAGTACGTCGTAGGGATATGAGCGACCTGTGAATTTCTGTGGTACGCTTCTTGATGAATCTCAGGGCGCCCACATCAAACCCGCCTTTCATGGCACCGACACACGGAACTACGAGCCGCTTGCTTTGGGTTTAGGGTTTGGGATTTTTGGTTTGGTAGCCGGGTTTAGGATTTCCGCCAGATGTCGCCGAGGCACCTGACTTGGAGCAAGGGCCACTTCAGCAGGGTGGATGGTAGGTTGAGAGGAGGTGACGCATTGAGCATCATTTTCCGCATAATCGTAAATTCCCCTGAACCCGAAGCCGTAACTCCTTCGCATACCCCACACCCCATGCCCCTGCCGAAGCATCAGGTCCATCTTCTCGAGGGGCTTGCTCATCCCGGGCTATCAGAACGAGCACCTCGGTTGGACACGTTTTTTTGATTGGGCGATCCGCACATAAAACTAGATTCCATTGTCTGCGATGTTAACCAAGGTTACGTGACGCTCTGTATTTCTGGAATTCCGGAGTAGGACTGGCATTCAGCAGTGTCTTTCGTCAATCCGCCCCGGCGCATGCAGCAAGAACGCCGTCCGAATTTGAAAACCCGCGTAAACCAAAAGAGACCGCTCGTCCCGGGCCTGAGTGTGCAGTGTTTAGCATCCAGCTCCATGGCTTGTTCTTGGGCTCAGGCTAAGTTTTTAAAGTATTATAAAGTGAAGAAACACTCTTCGCGGCTTTATGCTAGACTTTGGTAGAATCAGGTGGAACTTAGAAATATCTCGAGTTTGTATCAACCTCCGATCTTTCAAGTTTCGAAGAAGCCTCAGGCTGCAGATTGCTCATGGTGCTGCGCACGGCCGGGGAATTTACACAGCGAACATAGATGCATCGTGGTTGTCCAGGCACGCTCCCGATGTTTTTGGATGCGTCAGGCTTTGGGGCTAGGCTTGTCATGTCCTGTATGTAAGGGTTTTCTGTCACCAGATTTTTCACTCGAATTGTGAAGAAAGCATCTCGGAAGCCTCGCCCCTCAAAAGAAGTCAACTCGGCAACATTTTGGCGAAAAGGATCTTGCTACAGCAGCGCAGACATTCGGGGATGTCGCACCCCACCCTCTAGCAGGCCAGCCCGAACTGCGAGGGAGTAGATCAGTTTAGAGGTGTAAGGAGGTTATAGGGCTTAGGAGTGCAAGGGTTAGCGCTTAATTGCAGAGGTTTACCTGGACCCTGAAAGTCGTCCACTATTTCCCATTAGTCCGGTTTTCCAGGCTTTACTATACTTTTGGGATCCTTCTGGGGGGTTCAGGTATGCGTCAATATTTCCTAAACCCCAAACCCTAAACTGTTTAGGTGGGGCCGCTCGAAACTGCCGAAACCGACTCCAGGGGCTTCTGCGCATCGAGCTCCATGCTTGTTTGCGCGGTCCGGCAGGAGGCCCGCTTGGTAATGACTAATATAGGTGCCTTAATCATTAGAACAGGGTTTTGGGGCATATTATAAGCAATATGGAGACCTTAATCATTAGGATTTGGGGTTTTTCGGGGTATATTATATCAGAACAAGCTTTGACTGTAATAGGGAACCCCAGGATAGTATTGGTAATGATTCAGGTTTCTAATCAATAGTTGCTTTTGGGTTGACAGTCGAGCCTGGCATGTTTAAACATCAGGCTCTTTTGGAGAAGCTCAGGGTTTTCTTGTCGAAGTCGGGACCGTGTGGGGTCAGGTATGCTCTTCATACCACTGCAGTTGACAACAATTTGAGGTCATGCGATTGAAAATAGGTAACACCCATTCGGGGAATGATTAGGATAAGGTGAGGAAAAGGGAATGACAGGCCGATAGTATGCAGGTAACTGTGCCGAGATGCGATCTACGTTACAGGACCTTGTATCATGTATATATCCGAACCAAATTTCAACCAAGCGGTAGTGATGTCACTGAACTAAACCCAGCCTATTTGCTGTACAATTGTTGCCGCAAGCCTCGGCTTTCTGCCACTAGCTGAGCCCAAGAAGATGCACTGAGAGCTGCCCCTCAGAATGTGACGCACGTGGGAGACGCCATGGTCGTATTCGACCAGGACAACGTAACTTGGCTTCGCTGGATGCTTGTGCAAGAGCCCAGCAGGGTACAGGGCTTTAGGACGTTGCTTCAGCATGGGCACTGCAGCCACTCGTCAAAAAGTGATTCAGAGTCAAATTAGAATCTAATTAGAGGTTACCAAGGCTATCCTATTCAACATGCTATACAGATTAATAATGCAAGCACACAATATAGTACAAAATCGATGACATACGGTCTCCACAGGGCTTAGGGTTTATGGAGTAGACTGGGCAGATCCCGAAAGTCGAAACGTTTTTCGTTTTTGCAAAACTTCGCATCCAGAGGGTAGCTGTTTGGTTGGAGGCAGTAACTATACCTTAGGGCCTTGGGGTTTAGCTCACCGCCACTTCCACTGTCATCACTGCTGGAGATGTTGAAGCTTTCCTGCACGTGTACTTGGAAAGAACGTGGCTTGTTCTGCGCTCAAAGCTATCTGTATACTGGCACAAACTGTCATGAGTTTTTTTGTGCGCGCAATAACTAGAACGGCAATATCTTCGGCATGTTGTCGGGACAACCATATGTTGGAGTTGACGGCTTTCTTGCCCATGCCCTGCTGGGTGGGAACCATACAAGTCCACTGGTTTCCGGTTTAGGGTCAAGGTTTAAGGTTTGGGGTTAGGGTTCTGTTCCGAGCGGGATGTTCAACACAAACCTTTGCCGACTATCAGGTTCAGCCTCCCAGTGTAACTAACCATATCAGGGAGGTGAAAAATAATTCATGAACCAGTTGAACTGCGGAGGATGGCGATGGTTGCAGCAGTGCTAGAACTGCATTGTCATGATAATGATGACGGTGATGATGATGAGGATGATTATGACCATGTAGGATGTGGGCGACGCTTTTCTCCGGCATCTACGCTTCTCTGATCGCCAAGACCTGAATACAGTGATGAGCCCCAACACTCTTGCCCTGCGGAAGCCAATCCTAAACCTTGAACTTCCGAAGAACCAAAGCCCGAAACCAACCCCAAGCCGTCGAACCATAAACCTGAGCCTCCTGTGTAAACTCTACACGCTTCAACCCTCAACCGGTTTTCGCCGACTTGCAGCCTCTTGTCCACGAACACGAGATGAGAGATTGTTCGTGCTTTCTAGGATTCAGAGGAGAATGCTACGAAATAAGGGGTCTTGAAGAGTTGCAAAGCGTAAGGTGCGCTACTGGCAGTTGGTTGGTTACTGTATACAGCATAAATAGCACAGTCAAGTCTGTAAGTGCCTCTTCCGGGCCTTTTTTCAGGAGTCTCTCGACTCCTCGTGCCAGATGCAGAATGGGAGAAGGTCGCCTCCCAGTCGGACCCCGGGGCCCAGCTCGGTGCCGAATGACCTGGATGGGCAGCTCTTGGTCGCGACTTCGGGCTGTACCTGCGGATCGGCTCATCAGTTGGAGGAGGAGTGCCAACGATTAGCTGCGCAAAGCTACGGCCTCGCGACGCGCCTGGACTCAGTGGTGGCCCGCGAGGAAGAGATGGACCAGAGCCTAGAAGGTCTAGATTTAGACATCGAGCGAATGGAGATCGCTGAGGAAGAGCTGCGATGGTCCAGGGATGATACAGAAGCTGCGTGTGCGGAAGCGGAGGCGTTGCTGCAAGCCGCTGCAGCCAAAGCGAAGGCCCTTGGAGCTGCGCAAGAGAAGCTCGAAGAGCAAGCTGCGACACTCAAGCACTTGGAGATGGAGGTGGAGGGAAACTAGGCAGGCCATTGGCAGATTTGTTGTTGTAGTTCCATTAGTTGTGAACTGACTTGAGAATACTTCTTCATAGCCTTTTGTAAATGGCCAACAGACCTAGGAAAAGAGCGTGATTTGGCACAAGATGAATCGGACTTGTTTGAGGCAAGAAACCGGATTGACGATCAAGTCGAGCGCATGCGACGTGAGTTTGACCAGATCGAAAAGGAGACGCAGCTCCTACATCTGGAGTTTGAGGAAGCTGTACAACAGCTCGACGAAGTGGAACGGGAAGAGTGGGCCTTGCATGAGGACAAACGTCTTCTTGGGGAGATTGAGGCCCAGGTGGAGCCTGTGCGACGTCGTCTGGTTGAGCGAGAAAGACGCCTTCACTTTGAGGAAGAAGAATTGAAGGCTCAGGAGGCGGATTGTGAAGAGAAGGAGGCCCAGTTTTTGCCGGCATACCAACAAGCACAGCAAGCCGTCTTGGCTGTCCGCCAACGTCAGCAGGACATAGACAAGAGGATAGAAGAAAGCTGCCAGCAGCAGCGCCGGCTGCTGCAGCAATTCCAGGATTTGGGTGAAATCGACGGAGGCTTGCAACTCGATGGTGCAGCACTGCAAAGTAACACGACGACCTCTGCTGAAGGACATACTGCAGACATTGACTGGGCACACTCCCTTCGACAACAGCAGACATACTTGCGGCAGATGGAGGTAGATCTTCTGCAGTTGAAGGAGCAACCCAATGCCGGCAACCAGCAGAACGCGGGTATATCGTGAGGATGAGCCTTCGTTTGAGGCTGGCGACCGATGCTGCTCCAGCTGCTCGATCATGTACTCTTGTCTCTGAGTCTAAATTCCAAGTCGCCTCGAGCCCTCATCCTGCTGAAAAAGGCAATGCTCAGCCCGTGGGGTGGAGTAGAAGTGGCCGGCTGGCCGGCAGCCGGCATCATTCATGTTTATGCTTATAGAGTTTTGTAGCATGTCTAACAACAACTTCGGTACTGTGTCAAACTTCGAAAATCTTCTGCGGATGGTGAAGAAGCTTGGTTACCTTAGTTTGCATCACACCAAAACCAACACTCTGCTTCCGCACCGAAGCTTGAACCGTTTCATGATCTTTTGCGGAGCTACTGACCGCACAGGCACGCCCTGCATGATGTTGACATAGAAGTTCAGCCAAGAGCTTTCACGGCCTAAGCCTACCTCTACGAAAAGAATCAGCGGCGACTTAGTAAGTAGGCTTCAGAAGTTCATGCCCACAAGAACAGTAATCCTACTTGAGCTATCATGTCTTAGTATGTCTCATTACTGGTTCTGGTGATCCGAGTCGCAGAGTCCCCCCAGCCTTTCAACGTTGCGAGAAGTGCCGCCAGCTGTTTCGGATCCCCCCCGAAATCCCAGGTCGTACCTCTCTTCGAGGGGTACCTCCCAGAGGGCGCCAGTGTGCGTTATCAGGAGACCAGCCGCATGGTCGCACTTGGCAGCGTCCGGGGTGATGTTGCCGGAAGTTACGTAAGCTGTACTTCTTCTATCGGGTCGCTTTAACATGTTGCTAGAGGCTTCTTGCATATGTAAGCATTTGCCAGGGTTTGCCGAAAACAATCAAACACTGCATGCACATGCTTCTCTTCGTAAGTCCCTCAGCGTTCTAACATCAAGCAGCGCGAGGTACTCGTATGACACGAATCTCCACCATCAAAAGTCTGAGGTCTCATGTTGAACAGCCCGCGTACCTCCATCACATCTCCAACTCTGCATGCATGAGGTACTAAAACTGCTTCTCCAAAGCCTATCGAGCCGAATGCTCGTACAGAGGTTGCAGCACGGGATAATATCTATAACTTAGGAGCAGTGCAAAACATAGAACAGCCTAAGCGGGCTTCCTTGACAGCTCCTTACAGAAGAAGATCAGCTTCGGCATGCTGCTGTTGCAATCCCGATGCAAAGAATGCAGGTTGGTCCACGGGAAGCGCGCTCCAGCCACTTGGACGTGTTTCTGCGTGTTGTCGAACTTTGTCCGACAGCATGTGGAGCAGCATAGCAAGTATTGGAAGCTTCGCAGAGCTCTCAAAGCAACTTTGAACTCCACCCCTAACCGAAAGCCCGGAAGGCCCATATGTTTTAGATGCAGCCAAGGGCGGGCGTGATGCAGTTGCAGGCCATGCTGCGGGAGTTGCACTCGATTGAGGGACAAAACAAGTCAGGGGCTGCGGGTGTCGGAGTTGCATGCCCAGCCGAAAACTATGAGCCAGTATCCAGAATCGCCTCGCCAAAGACACCATGGAAGGGACAAGAAGACGAATTGGGCCTGGAAGAAACGCTGAAAGGCTTCTGTGCCATATCTGGCAAGCAAGCTTAAGCAGGATCGCCCAAACCTGCGTTTTACTGCCACACCGTGGGGAGACCAAGCCTTGTTGTATTCGCGTGTCGAAGGTCTCATAAAACCAGAGATGGCGTTGTCTCAACATCCACCTGTATATTGTCTTACTGGAGTCCACTGGGTTAAACTCCGCCCTAAACCTCAGACCCTAAACCCTAAACCCCAAACTCCATAAATCCCAAACCCTATGAACCCTACACGGGCCTGCCTGCCAGGCCGCCAGGCAGGCCTCTTCAAAGCCTCCGCTCGGCAAACCGGCACCTGCCAAGTCCGCGACGACTGCAGAAGCTGCGCCTGCCAAGCCGGCAAAGAAGAGAAGCTCTGCTCTAGAAGCCTACGAGGATGGGGGTAGTATAGAGGCCTTACCAAATCGAAGTTGGGTTTCGGGGGCAAACTACACTGTATTCCGTATATTACAAGAACCATCTTTTTAATGATTTCCCGTTTTCTTAAGGATCCAGGTCTGTCTCGCTGGGCAAATGTAGTAGAACCGAGAGGCTGCTTCATAGTAAGGTTCCCAAGCCCCTGGGAGGATCAAAAAGCAGATCCCTTAAGGGGATTCAAATACAGCACCCTTTAGGAGCACAGGGTCCAAAATTAATGATCTGCCTTTTAGATCCTCGCAGGGGGTCTGGTTTGCTGATCCGGTAGTTTATATGGGTTGCACTCCCCCAGAGACTTGCGTGTTCGTGCGCGACCAGGCCTGTGTCCTCTATGTAAACACTCTCTGGCACGTCCTGAGGTAAGTTCCTGACGCGACTGGCGGCCAAGAGCAAGAAGCATTGATGCAGTCATTACGCGGCATGAAGTGCTCCGCGACCTCGTATGTCGGGGACCCATGATATTCCAGGGCATACATACTTCTCCTCCTTCTGATTGCTCGAAACCTACCGCACACTTGCTTTTGGAGGACTTCTGGGGTCTCGGCAGTCCTGTATTTCGACAGAAGCTGCTAAGACTGGGTAGTTGATGCAACTTCAGCTGGAGTTTTGCATGGACAACCTCACACAATAGTCCTGCAGGCCCCAAGTCCCCAACTCCCCAACTACTAGCTACTAGCTGCTCCCTGTTCTTGGCCGAATGCCAGGCCTCTACTCCGGAAAAAACGTTGACGCCCCCCAGACCTTCGGACCTCAGTTCCATGATTGGAGGCTAGGCTGGAAGATCTGCCGAGAGATATAAGGCTTATTATATCTTATTGTAAGGTTTTAGGGTTTCATATCTACCTAGAGCTGCTTCCCAGCTGATTAGCAGGGTCTGAGTTCAAATATTTACCTAGAGACGAGGGTGCAGAAGTTCAGGATTTAGCATTTGCCTGCAGATGAGGGTTTAGGGTTTCATATTTACCTAGCGCAGGAGGAGTCAGACCCTGGGGCCGACAGTTGAAGTGGGACGGGTCCCAAATGATGTCATCGGTTGTTGTCATACCAGATCCAACCCTAAACCCTAAACCCTGAAACTCTAAACCCTAAAACTCTAAACCCTAAAGACCCTAAGGCCTAAGACCCTAAAGCCTAGGACCTGTGGGCCACTGAGGGCTCTAGGGGTGTAGGGGGTTTATCATCTCTGAGCTTTAGAACCACCAACCCTACATCAACCTCACCGCGTGCTTGAGGCCTGACAGGCTCAGACTGAGCTCGGGCTTTAGGATCTGGCATTTTACCCTAACCCTTTAGGTACCTACTATATAGGGTACTAGGGCCCCTGGGGCCGTATATAGTAGGTACCTGGGAGGTTAGGGTTACATGTAGCAAGCAGGGTTGTGAAACAACCCTGTTTCAACTCAACTGCAGCTGACTGCTTAAAGCCTCTTGAAGCCACCATTTCTGTGAAATACCGTGTACAGTGTACAGATGTGTGCAGAAGAGCCAGTCGGAACAAAATGGATGCATCTTTCGGTCCAGAGAGCTGCCAACCCGGAATTATGCGACTCTCGGGCATGGGCGGACACATTTCTGACAGGAACCGAGTCACCAAGTAGACAAACCAGATACAACATTCAGCAGTCAGTGTGTGTGTGTACAGAAATATACACAAACACATACGTACATGAACACAAAGAGGTAGTGCGCATGTACGCAAAACAAGATGACGAAGTTCAGAATCTTCGACATGTAGGAAACTCGTCCATCTCGTGTGTCTGTCTGTGCGTGTGTTGCCACTGCCCATAGCGAAGTGCCCAAGACACTCGCACTCGCGAGACGTCGTACCTGTGGTGTTCTGCATGGTGGTTCCCTTTGCAAACTTTGCGCCCCATCTGGCCGGAATTAAGAATCAACTACTACGAAACTGGTACCGAAATTCGAACGTCGGAGGAGTACGTGTGCCGACGTCTGTTTTTGTCATGGCCCCTGCCTACTCTCACGTCAGGAGTTCATGGTATACGATTGGGTTCCAATTAATTTGCGTTCCTCAGGCGTTCCTGTCAAGGCCCCACATGTCCATTGTTGGCTGCTGCTTCCAAAACACTTGCTGTGGACGGAGTCGCATTAAGGGTACTAGCGCTCTTCGTTTTGGTCGCAGTAGTCAGCGCAGAAGTAGTTTGTAGTAGTCGTCGTAGTAGCAGCGGCAGTAGTAGTTGGAGTAGTAACAGAGTAACACTAGCAGCAGCCGTCGCAGTAATTAGCAGTATCAACACAGCAGCCGTCGTCGTCGACGTGGTCCTCGTCGCAGTAGTAGCAGTAGAAGAAGTCGAGCAGTCCTTTTGCTCTGTTGAAGCTTGGATGCGCGTGAATGCTTGTTTGGCTTGAGGCAGCAGAGCCCCATTCCGTCCTGCAAAGTGGGTGCGGATCCGGAGCCCTGTGAACTTTGAAGCTTTCAGCATGACTCGAAGGAGGCCATTTCATTCAAGCTGAGTTTGCCTTTATGCCTGCCTTCACATAACAACCACTACCAGAGGCCGAACAGTCCCTCCGCCTACCCGCGAATGAGAGCGGGTAAACCTCCCAGCTCAGACATCGGTTTCTTTCCCTGGACACGGTTAGCTAAAGCTCACGCCTGCCTTTCTTCGCCACACAAGCTGGCATGGCAAGTGGGGAAGATCCCAAGCCTGCGCGGGAACCTCAGCTCATCCTCTCAACCTCGAAAATAATGAAGCCCTAACTTCCCCTGGTAACCTCCTATACTACATTATTATACTACCTATACATCCTTTAGGTATTCCTATCTCTGGCAATCTGAAACATCACAGGAGCCCCTGCAAATTAAGCAGCTCAGAGTCTCGAGGCCCAGACCATGTATGCAATGGGCAAAGGCTTTGCTTAAGAAGGATTCTGCTCGAGGTGCCCAGTTCAAGGTTCGTTTAGCCCTTGTCAAGTATGGGAGAAGGAGGGACTATACTTTGGAGCAGCCTCATAGCTTTCCCTTACAGTCTCCGACTGACTTGGGCTTGTCTTAG